ATAGGAAAAAAAATTGCAAAATTCTTCAATTTTGAGCGGTTGTATTTCTATTCCGCTGTTTTTCTTCCGAATATTTTTAGAATTTTTATAAATAAATTAAGTGCTAAATTTTTTAAATTTAAAAAACAATGAAATAAAATATGTATATATGAAATAAAATACATATATATATATATATATATATATAATAAAATATATATATATTATATATATATTTTATATATATATATATATATATAAAATATATATTTAAAATTTATAACATTATAAAATTTATAACATTATAATATTATGAATAATATTATAAAATAAAATGTCCGCCTTTGACAGGAGTAAATCTACCATGCCAAAAATCCGGATGATTCCTTCGGACTCACTTGTAATTCTATCCTCAAATAACTCTATGGTGAAAGAGTCAGATGTTCTTTTCACGGCATTTGCGTCTGGCGCGCATGCTACTTGCATTCCCGTGGTACATGCGATAAGTATATAATCCAGATGTAAAGCGATAGTAAAGCGATCCCAAGACTGATAAATAAAATGTGCTTAAATAAAAATTCATTCATTCATTGAAACCAGCCATTATCGGTCTTTCAATTTCATTTCTTAATTTTAAAAATTTAAAAATTAAATCTATTAAAATTTTCTTAAAGTTTAAAATTTCAATTTTTTTTTTAATTCATTATATTTTGCAAAATTTATTAATTTTACAAATTAAATTAAACAAATACAGTGATGATCGATCAAATCGCATAATTTATTTAACTGTAATGATAACGACATTTTCGATATATTTCTCGGCAATTTATCGATGACCATAAATGAAACTATAATTGGCTATGTATATATATATATATATATATAATCGCTTCGAATTGGAAACTTATAGCGTATATTTTTATATTTATCTGATTATCAATCAATCTATTATCAATCAATTAATACTACTGATGGTTAAAAAAAGATTGCAGTTATGATTTTAAAAGAATGAATTACAAATATTGTAGTGAAAATATGATTAATGCGATCGGGTGTTGTGGAAATATAAATATTTAAACTTTTTAACGCTTTTCATTTCGTTTTTCTCATTTGTTATCATTAAAATAACTTTTTATCTATATAATGATTAATATGTAAAAATAATGATAACAGTGATAATGTATCTATATTCTTCTCAGAAGGAAACCTAATCGACGCTTTTCATTTTTTTTCTTAAAATCAAGTGAAGTATATATAATTTTAAAATTTTAAAAGCCTCGAGTTTCGTTTATTCGCTACGTTAAACATTGCGCAATTCGCAGACGATTCAGAAACCAAAAGGAATACACACATAATACTATATTTTATTCAGAATATATAAGATTATAAAATATTTTTAAGAAAAATTATCCATTTTATTTTAAAAAGGAACTTTGAAGATTCTATGCATTGTTTGTTGCCTAGCTTAGTTATATCAACTTATACAGCAATAAATGTGATAGTAATGTTTACCATTTCTTAATTCATTGGTTAGGATGAAATATTCGCAATTTCTTGGACGTTACGAGCGAACATCTCGCTTAAATGCGAAACTCGAAGCTCAACTGCAATGTCATTTGAATTGCATTAACTGTTGTTAAATTTATTAGATGAAAATTGCGCATTGTTTTTATATTTTTTAAATTTTTATTTCATAGATTTAGTTTCTTAAAAATATTAAAATCGATTTTTTCAGCAGATAAAATATAAAATTAACTGAAAATACTTCAAAAAAAAAAATAATTTTAAATTTTTTAAAAGTAATCAATTATAAAATTTTTTAAAATAATTAAAATAATTTAAAATACTGTAAATATTCAAATGTTTTAGTTTAATTTGCTTTAAACAATATATTGATAAGCAATTTAAAAATTTTTTCTTAGAAGATGAATTGTTTCTTTTCTCTCTTTTTTTTTTTTTTTACATTGGACTGTTAACAGATAGAATTCGAATTATTATTATTATCATTTATCGCAGTATGATTTGTATAATTTCATCAAAATGTAGAATACAAATAATAATTTTCTCGATTTTAATTGTTATTTTGATGTATTTATGTTTTTTCATTTCTTCTAAATCTCTTCATTTTTATCAAGTAAGCTTTATGAAATTATCGTTAAACATATCTAACAACTTTTTAAATTCTCTTAAAACTAAAGAAGAATTTTTGATAAGTTTTTTTATCACTTCATCACTATCAGTATCAATAGTAATCAATATATGAGTTATTCTCAATGATAAGACATACAGAAAATTTTATAATTGAATTGTTATAGCCAATGATAATTTTGTTCCAATCTTTCTCATTGTTCTTAATGAATCCTCCTCCTCATTCTTACAACATTCCTAGATTTCTTGCAGTAGTATGCACTAGGAATTAAAAAATTATTTAGTTTTCTATTAGTGTATTTAAAATTTTTCTATGGACCATCATTTTAGAATGAAATTTTGCTATTGAACGACAATATTGAATCAACAAATACACCAAGGATTGCAATCAGCAAAGTTAATACAAATCGCACTTTAGCGATTATTTCGCAAATATTCAAATACAATTCAACTTTTCCAATTGAATTTAAAGAAAAGTTAGAGAGTCGTCATGCAATTCATTTATTAACGAATAAAAATATGCCATTTACTCCTTTCACAATCCTCATCGAACCAAAAATTTGCATTGGTCAGTAATTTGTTAATTTTTTAACAATAAATGAATTTAATAAATTTAATATAATTACAAAAATGATTTTTACACTTGCAAAATTATTGCTTGTAATTCTTTGTGAAAATAAAATTGCGATTATTATAATAAACGATAATATTGCAATTTTTTTTTGGAAATATTCTCTAAAAATATTTGTTGAAAAATTCGAAATTATTTTACAATAGATTTTTCATCGTATAAAAATGGAATAATTAAGAATAATAATTGAATTGGATTAATAAATAATTCCTTTATATATTCCTTTTAATTTTGCTCTAAGTTGCAAATTTGAATAATTGATGAATTTCAGAAATTTTCAAAAATTCAAAAATGATTTTGGCTTAAAAAAAATAAAAATTAATTATATTCACACCTTTTTTATTTGAAAATTATTTATTTATTTATTAAATTGTTTATTTCTTCATAAGAAATTTATTTCTTTGCAAGCAAATGAGGCTAGAATGACTCATTGGATTGATACTTTCACTTTGAAGCGTTGATATTGTGGTTCTTTTCCCGATAGAAGATGAAAACTCGTCCTTCAACAAGCAAAGAGATATTGACGACCCATTTGTATTTTTTTCATTAAGCGACTTTATGACAAAAATTTGTCTGGTTCAACAAGCCAGCGAAGTGTATCTCACCAGAAACAGTGAGTTCTGAAAAAAAAACCTAGGGAAAAAAATAACATAGTGGCTGATTAAAGTAGATAAATTATAAGAAAATTGTAGGAAAAATTATAAAGCTTGGAAAATATGATTGCAAATGGGCGAAAATGAACAAAAAAAATAGTGCAAAGCAAATCAAACATTTCAAAATCTTTTATTGACAAAATTATCAATGTTAGCAATGAATCGCGTCCATTTCAAATAATGCCACCCGGCTAAGTCTTTTAGAACTTGAGATAGATGAAGTTAGTATAGAATCACTAAGTAATCTTTAAATAGCCTAAATCAGTAATTAATAAATACTTTTAAGTAAGAAGTTCTTGTATGGCTTATGCCCGTTTTAAGGGTAAGTTCTGCAATATCTCGATCATCAGTGTCAATGCTCCAACTCTGTCGGCAGATGACCGAGATAAAGACAAATTCTATGCGGAACTTCAACTGACAAAGTCTTTACCGAAACATGACATGATCATAATCGGGGGAGACTGGAATGTTCGCATGATCATAATCAAAATCATAATGCAGCTGCGATGACCTCAACAATTGGCAAATATGGCATCGGAGACCGGTGTGCCAATGGAGAACGTCTTCTTCGTTATGCCGAAGTGCATGAACTTTTTGTTACTAATACTTGTTTCCGGCAACATAGAAAACATCTAGCAGCGTGAAAGTCCCCGGACAACCAACATTTCAACCAGATTGTTTATATCTTAATCAGTCGCCGTTGGAAGAGTTCCGTACTAGATAGTCGTTCGGAGCTAAAACGGGCAATCTTCATGGATCTGGCCATGTTATGGTTCGAGCCAAGATCCGCATAAAATTGACAACTCGCAGAAAACAGCATCCGCAAGTTCCTTCAACTTTCTCAAACTAAAAAATTCGGGGATAGTGAGCGCATTTCAAACCGAATTATTGAAGCATCTCAATGATACAAATATCAATGATTTTTCTGGAACGGCAAATAAATACCGGTCCAAACTAAGGGAATGTCTCCGAAAATCAGCCACTTACACGCTAGGGCATACTAGTAGGGAGTGCTAGTTGGGTATCGGAAGCAACTGTACAATTGTCTGAAAAAGCCAAAGCATGATCTAGTGATCCTGACTACAGGATGCTTCGAAGATTTGCAGCGAAAGCAGTAAGGCGGGACAGAAATCTCTATTGAAGAGACAGCAATGGCGTACTAATTAAAAGTATTAAGGATCGCCTCATAAGATGGAAAAAATTCTTTGAGGCCAAACTTAACCATGAAGCGCCATCTGTTGCCCCTGATATAACTATATAACTATATAGTTATAGTTGATACGTTTGCCGAAGCATACGCTTGCAATTGCGAGCCTCCAACAGAAATAATTTCAGTTATCCATAAGGTTAAGGCCAAAAAACTCCAGGAGATGGTCTTCGGGCTGAGCTTTTCAAATGCTGTCCATCGTCCTTCACAGTCAACCTTCAACAAATGTACTCTTTAATATGGAAAAAAGAAATATTACCATGCGTTCTTCCGCTTGACGAAACCTTTATGGAATCGTCGTGAAATCACCATAAAAACGAAAGTCCGCATCCATACTGCCGTGATCCGTTCGATTTTACTATATGGTTCTGAGACATGGCCAATGAGAGTGGAGGATATCAAGAAGTTATCTGTCCTTGACCACTCTTGTCTACGGTACATATTACGGATCCGTCGAGCAGATAAAATATCACAAGATCTTCGTTCAAATACCATTTGCATAAATAATGTTATCACAGAGTGTCGCCTTCGCTGGTTAGGGTACATTCTTGGTCGTCCACCACAGGAGTTGATGCATATTTCGCTATTTGCTAAACCATGTGACGGTTGGCGTCAAAAGCGAGGTGGGCCAATCAAGACCTGGACTGATACGGTGAGAAAAGATTTTGAACGTATAGGTGGACCAGCAATATATGGACTTAGACGATGGAAAAAGGAATGGCTTTCATTACTGTCGACGATGGCATCAGACCGCGCCACTTGGAAGCGTCTTACCCTTGTAGCCGTTGGAGCCAGCCTAACCAGTAATGGTGAGAGCTGTTAGAAGAAGAAGAAATATAAGTAAAAATCTGATATTTAGCATCTTTGCCCATAAAAATTTAATTTTTTTTAAGTTGGTAAAGAAGTAAAAGTTGTGGTTTACATGTCCACTAGGCCGCAAGATTTCGAGCTGAGGAAGGCTTTACGAGATTTTTGGACAAATGAAGCAAAAATGCACGGTATCGAGGTTTGTAATTTTGCATATAATGGAAAATGTATGATAATGAAATCTTGAAATTTCTAGAAACATTAGGCACTAGGCTCATCATTTTTGGTTAGCTGCCTGCTTTTCTCTCGTGTTATTGGCACAATTTTACTGGAATATTACTTAAAGATACAGGTTGATTTTTGTTTCATAAAAACTTTGGAAACTGCTAGCAATTATACAATTCCCTTCAAGGCAGCCGATAAACCTTTTTCGATGTGCTCATGCAAAAATAATAATTTTGTAAAAAAAATTTTGTGAATAAAAATAATAAAAAAATAATTTTATAATTTCAACATTAATATGCAAATTAAATTAAAATTAGATGATTATGGCTTTGTTAAATTTAAATCAAAAAGTGAAAAAAGTTTCCAAAAATTTAGTTCCCTTTTTAAAATTAAAATGAACCATTTGAGCTAATTTTTTCAGTTTTTAAATATTTAAAAATTAAAATAAAAAAATTGGCTTTCATATTTGAAATAAAAATACGAATAATTAAGGTAGTTTTCGCGATGGGGCGATATAAAAATGATTCAAGTGATATTATTTTGGCTTTTAAAGAAAATTTACTTTACGGAGATATATTTATGGCGAATTATGAAGACACGTACATATAATATATCTTTAATTTTAATTTTAAAAATTTCATTTAAAATTTTTCAAAGTTTGATTTACTCTTGAAAAAAATTGTTTAAAAACCAATTTTTTATTTCCTTTTCGCAATTTTTATGAAAATAAAAAATAAAAATTTCAGCTATAAAAATTTAATATTAAAATATTGGATGAATTTACACTATCATGTGCACTATTGTCATCAAACAAATTTTATGGTTCACGCAGATTCGGATACAGTGATTTTCGCTGAAAAATTCGCATCATTTATGAATAAATATAAGCATTTATATGAGAATAAATTGGGCTGTCAGGTAAAATATTAGCGATTATTTTATTCTCATAAAATAAGTCAAAAGCATAAATATTTTTTATATATAAAATATTAAAACATTTCTTAAATGCTCGTTCACTTGTAATCAATTAAAATATTATTTAATGATAAAAAATAACAATTTAATTTTCTTATCTGAAAATATTTATAATTTTGGAAAAATTAAAGAAATTTTTGCAAAAGATCTATTCTTCAATAGAAGTAATAGCGGTGATTATCATTATCAACCAGGCTTATTGATAGCTCTCCTATCTAGAGCAGAACTCTTGCATCTCAAGTGATAAAATTAGCTATTCTCATGAAATAAGTCAATAAGAACCATCAATAAATAAATGTGTCAAGAGAAAATTAATAGAACATTTAATTATCTGCCCGGTCCTCATATTAGAAATAATTCTAATACTGAAAGGCTATACGAATTTTTTTTGGTAAAATTCAATAAATCTAGTAAAATTCAGCCTCTTGCTGGTCCAAGGATTACTAATCCAAATAATCTGTGGTATGTGTCTGCTGATCAGGAACCGTGGCCACAGCTAATGAGATATTGCCACGGATTTATGATCCTTTCAAGCAATACCGTTCGTTATCTTCCAATTCTTTTTTTATTTTCATTTTCATTTTACTTGAATTATTATGAGATTTTTAAAATTAATGAATAGCTGGGAGGAGAATTTATTTATTTTCAGCTGAAAATATGAATTTTTTAAATTTTTCATGAAAATTTTGTTTATTTTATTTGATTTTTTTTCATATTTTAAATTTCCTCGAAAATTTCCTTTTATATGAGCAAAATTTTTTAAAAATTATTCATTTATAAAAAAATTCCACTGAAATTTCCAATTTTTTGTTAAACTTGAATCGAAAATTTAAGTTTTTTCAATTGAAATTTTATTTCGGCATTAATTTTTATATTCTATGCAAAATATAAATCGTTGTTAATTTCGTCTTATTTTTGAATTCAAAAAATTATGAGAGATAATTTATTTATTATAGGTCGCCAAGAAGCTTCTTGATGGTGTAGAGAAAATTGGTATTGACTATTTTACATCATTTGGAATATTCGACGTTGCAACTGGTCCACTCGCAAAGGTAACTATTTAATTTCAGTTGAATGATGGTAATAATATGGAGAGCAGAACGGTTTAGTGAATTGTTGCACATTTATTGCCGAGATTCTATTCCCAGCAAGAGTAAACGTGTCCAAAAATCCGGTTGATGCTGGCAACTCACTTGATCTTCTATCGCTAAATGACTTCCAGGCATATTATTTTTATTCAATATCAAGCCAGCGGAACAAGTTTAACGAGCTCTTTAAAAAAATAATCAAGTAATATTAAATCGCATATCAAATAATTATTCTTCTCGACTCTTATAGCTTCTGACAAAATTTTATTGATTTGGTACACGGAGAATTAGAAGTGAACAAACGGTACCATTGAATAGCACCAACAATATTTTTACAAAAAAATTTCTACAAATTTCAACTGCTTTCTACAAAAATTAAACTAGTGGGGAGTAACCGGATAACTGTGAACCCTATCTATAATTAATCTGTAACTAATCCATCTATGTTAAAATGTTTGTCTTGAATCTTAAATCTCTTCTCTTTATATTGTATATATGGAAAAAAAACTTATTCCCTATGAAGCCAACCAAATTTTATCAGAATTATTGACACATCTTGCTGGATACCATTCTCGTTTCCTCGAATCGCGTTATTCTTCTCTCTTGACACCTTCAAAATTTCTCCTTTCCCTTTCGTTCCATGATATCACTTTAGGCCTTTTCTACTAATTTGATTCCTCAGAATACTTAGGCTATCCACTTTATTACCTTAATGCTTTATTGCTTTAATGCTCCTCGAATCTCACAGTCTCACGTTATAATTATAAAAGGTAGAATTATGGCAAAGAGTGAGGTAGAAGGTAAGAGCTTGTGGATGCACAGGAAAGACTCAAGCATTTAGCCCTCATCAATGTAGTGTATCAGGCTTCGAAGAGGTTCGAAGATGGAATGCAATTCTCGTCTCTTTGATGCGAAAAGTTCGATGAATTTTTTGCATGTTCATTTAATATTCATAACTTTACATGGTATTATGGTATATAATTTGTTTTTATAATTCTTCGTATTCCATTTTCATATTGAAAGATTAAAGGCAAAGATAAATGATAATTCAATAATAATAATAATAATAATTTCATGAAATACTTCTTTGCAAAGGTGTCAGATGTGGAAATTCTTGAAATAGATGGATTATACCACAGCATGCCAGAGCTTGACAACGTGTGCAACGAATCAACACTTGCAATACATTATATGAAAGAAGTGAAAGCTATAGAAATTACTATCAATAAAAGGTTATTCTTATTCTCATTTAAAAATTCACATAAGGACTATTTAAGGACTAATAAATTTCGCACAGAAAATCTAATTTTTAAGTTTTTAAGAAGAAAAGCTAAATTCTTGAAATATACTTATTAAGCAAGTATTTTAGCAAGAATTGTTCTATTATTAACAAAGGAAAGCATGCCGATTTATTGCAATAAGAATAATATCAGTTGTTCCTTTGCTTGCTTATCAGCTCATTTATTTTATCGCCTATTTATATAGTTTCTTATCAGTTATCCATTAATTTTTACCAGTTTTTTCTCCAGCGAGATTTCAAGCCTTAAATTCATTAAAATCCTTCATTCCTTACCAAATATTTTTATTTTCTTGTTCGTAATTGATTTATTAAAATATCTTCCGTTTTCTTATAGATTAACATAATTATATATATATTGAGAAGTGGTCATCATTTTTTTTTTTTTTTGAAATAGGCATTAATTATTCATTATTGCAATTAATTGTTGATGCCGAATTTTTAAGTTATTCAATGAAATACTGTGGAACTTATGTAAATTTCTGTAGTTATAATATCACTATATTTGTTAACTTCGATTACAATCACTGATTATGTGATCAAATAAATTGTTGTTGTATTTATTTCCTTAGAAAATCAAACAAGTCGAAAAGCCTACAGCAGTAATAATAAAATATTAGTAAAATTGATGTAAAGTAAGAAAGAAAAAATAAAAGTGTTTTACTAAAACTGAAAACTGATTTGGCGATATGTTTCATTTTATTATATAATCGAAAATCCGATTAAATTTAAAATTAAAAACTATTGCAACGTGGCATATTATTCCAATAATTAATGAATATCACGTAAATTCAAATTAAAGGGAAGCATAACCAAAGAATATTTTATAATTCTTCAAATCGTACAACATCAGTTTCGTTGTATAAGCAATAATGGAATCCATTCGCCAAGTCTTTTTGATTCTCCAGATGAACGAATATTTTAAATATATTCACGAGGAAAGCTATTGGTTTATTCGAAAAAACCTCTCAACAAGTAATGGAGAATTTTTTAAGTGGTTTTTTGGTTAGTGCTTCATTGTAGTTTTTTTTTAAGAGACCTCATCATTACTGGTTAAACTGGTTAATTACCTGAGTTTGAGGTAAACTGATTCCATTATAATGATCGAAATTAAAAATATTTTCAGCCATTATCTGAATTTTATAAAACTTAAATTTTATACTGCAACATAATTCATTAATAATAATTTTAATAATAATAATTATTAATAATAATTATTATTAAATTACTAATAATTATTATTATTAATAATTTTTATTAATAATAATTCATAATTTAATTCATTAATGCATTGTTATTTTATCATCGAACAAAGATATTTGGGTCAATTGTGAAATAAGTTAGTTAAATGATCTACCTGTATAGAAAACTTAGTAAACGAATTTTTGGTGGGAGCACGGCGATTCCAATTTCTAATATCTAGCTTTACAAAATTCCTTCGGGAATCTGCTCCAATATGTTTTTCTTTATAGATTTAATAAATTTCTTACCACTTTTATTTGTCAACAATATCATAAATTCTGCGGCCAGCGTTCTCTTAATGATTAATTCGCTGCAAACCCTCAAACTTGGGCAAGAAAATCTTTATTAATAACAAATATATATATATATATATAATGAAAGCAAAATGAAATCGTTACCGTTATTACAACGGAAAATAATATATTATGTAAAACCAAATATGAAAATATATATAAACCCAGTTCACCCGTCGCTCCCAATAGTTAATTAATGAATATTGATATGGCTCATTGATTTTGAACTATTTTTTAAAAATTTTAATATTTTTTTCCTCATTTTTGTTCGATTTTCATTGGTTTTCATTGGTTGTAAATTTTTATTTATATTTCGCCAAAATTTATGCAAAAAAAAAATTTTACAATATTATATAGAAAAATTATAGAAATTTTACAATATTATATAGAAAAATTATACAGAAATTATACAGAAAAAGTATCATCAATTAAGGGCTTCCGTTCTGGTTCCGCACCAATACATTGCTTTCGAACTTTGTCATTAGTTGCATTCACTGGGCCAGGCATTGGTTCGTGTGGTTCAGGATAGTCTGAAGCATTTAGCGCCACTGAAAATTCAGGATGAAACAAATAAATTCAAACAAAAATCTTAAAACAAATTGAAACTCTGGCATAAAGCTCTTTTATAAATATTTGAAATAATTAAAAAAAGATTCTTTGTTGAGGTGAGGTTAGAGGCTTAAATAGGCATAAACGAAATAAGGAGAATATAAATTGATACAAGGTTTTAACTTGGTAAGAAACTTACATATATCATTTTTTATTTGTTGTATTAGTTCTTCACTGTCAGCTTCTATTAAACGCTCTTTTGTCATATGGTGAATAATTCCTGCACCAAAACCATCACCTAATACGTTAACACTGGTTCTGACTCGGTCTCTACAAATTTATAAACATAATGGAAACAGCCGATTAATTATCTCCTTTCACTAATTGATAATCGTATTTTAAATATATTTCACAGACGAAGATTTATTAATTTTTTTAATAAAAATTTCTATTTCCTGAAAAAAAATCTAATTTTTGAATTTTTTGATCGAGGTTCTTGCAAAACTTGTAAAATTATGGTCCGATCACTTTTCATGCAAAATATGAAATCTTATCAGTTCTTTTTTTTGAGAGTCCTCATCATTACTGGTTAAACTCGCTCCACTGGCTTGTCGCATTAGACAATATGTCAGAGAGTCCCTTTGCGATAGGAATAAAGATGGGCCACCAGCATCACTCGGATTTTTGTACAGGTTTACTCCTGCAGGGTTCGATTCTGCAGGAAATCGACGCTCCAAGCTGAGCAACAACCCATTAAGCAATTCTATCCCCGAAACCTTATCAGTAAAAGAAGCAGAAAACAAATAAAATGATATAAAATGAAAGTGGAAAAAAGAAAATAGAATTTGAAAAATTCTTGACTCACAAGAGCCAGTCGACAGTTAAGAGTAGGCTAAGGTTATTTGCTGGAAGACCAACTGTTGTGAGAACAATTAAAATTGTATCCAATCCGGCTGGCACAGAACCAGAACCAATGGAAGCAACTGTTGTCGTTACGCTATAAATATTATAGTAATAATAATTATCAGCAATAATAATTATCGTTAAGATTAAAATTTAATAAAATTATTATTTGCAAGCTTTTTTAATTTTTGAAGAATTTATTAATCTTGGTACCAATGCTTTTTTTTTTTAAAATTTGTCATTTGTAAGATTAATTTTTATTTAAATTTCTCCAAAAAATTTTCCTCATTTCATAAGATAAGGTTGTTTTTTGTATTGTGCGATCTTTGCTATAAATTTATTTAGGCTTACCTAATTGTTAAAAGTTCAAGCAGCGACAATTGAATATTATTTAGCTGAGCAATAAAAATTACTGCAACGGCTTCATATAGAGCCGTTCCATCCTAAAATGTATTTGAGATCACACGTGAACATAATTTGAGCTAAAGCATTACGAGAATCGTTTTTTATTTTTGATAAAGATAAGAAAAAATCGATACTTTTTATCAGAAAAGAAGTAGAAATGAATAGTTTCTCCTAATTTCATTTACTATAAGGTTGCCAAAGCAAAAACTATCAACAAAAGTGCAAGTGAAAAATTTCGCAAACTGTATGTTGATAGCTTAATAGAAAGGTTAATTGCAACTAGAAATGGAGAAATTGAGAATCCGACCGGCCGACGCACCAGGATTCGCCAAGTGACGGTACGACGAAAGCGAAGAAAGATGGAATGGCTCAATAGGTTGTTGCTCAATTTGATGCTGCAGTTCTATGCCTAGCAGGAATAAACCTTTTATTCAAAAACCCGAGTGATGCTTGCGACTCATCAGTAATTATATCACCAAATAAAAATTCCTGACAAAATTTGCTTCTTCCGACAAATCAGAACGAGTTTTGACGACCGATATTGATGAAGACTGTTAAAAAAAGAAAATATGAACTTGAAAAAACTGTCTTAATGATAATTATTGAATAAAGGCAAGCATTATTAAGGCTAATCGCTATAGCTATTGAAAAATAATTAATCGGCTAATTTGAAAAAAAAAAAAAAGAGTAGAAAAATTTAGGTCATTCAAGAAATTTCTGATAAAAGTCGGCTAAAATCGGTTTAAAATAATAAAATTTTGTTGCTGCTAAAATAAAGGAAAAAACTGCAAAATACAAATAAAATAAAAAATGAGTTTTTCTTATAGCTCATTTTTCTTTTCATAAAAGCTATGCTTTTCTTATTCAGAAAAAAATGAGCGAAAACGATGAAAATGAGCGAAAATGATGAAAATGAGCGAAAATGAACGCAACTATACCATTGTTATTGTCGCTCCAAGAGGTAAAACAAATCTGGTAACTCGTCGATCAATTTTAAGATTTTCTTCTAAACTACGAAATGTTACTGGTAATGTTGCACCGCTAAAAAAAGTACCACAATTATAATACATTTAGTACATTTGTTTCCCTTAAGCAGTACAGAGAATTAGCATATTTGTTTCTTTCCGTATCCTTAAATTTTTTTTATTTCCTTTTATATATTTGAAACAACACTGGAGGATAGAATAGCTCAGTGGGTTGTTGCTCAATTGCGAGCGCCGATGCTGAGGTTCGATTCCCCGCAGGAGTAAATAAACTTGTATAAAAATCCGGGTGATGCTGACTAATCGCCTTATTTCTAAAAAAATCTGAAGCAATACTAATAGTTTACCTTGAAGCAGTTCCAAAAGCTGTCGCTAATGCTTGCAACATTCCCGTCATAAATTGAAATGGACTGTTCCTGGTTACAATGAAATATAGAAGAGGTAATGTAAGTAATGAATGAATCATTAGCCCACAAATTACTGTTACAACGTACATTGCTAAAGCTTGCGCTGTTTCCGACAAATTATCAATGTCGACGATATTTTTACAAACAAGCGAAAGAATTCCAATTGGATAGCACCTAGAATATTAACAATGTTAGTTCTCATTGCAAATTTTTTTTCTTATCCCCTAAAAGTTATGGCCATTCTCAATCCCAAGTCTTCTACTTATCATATCATAGTTCTAGCACCGCATTCTTCCGAGAACCAATATTACTCCAGGATCTGTTGAAACTGATTTTTTGCCTACATCTTCACCACTGAGACCATTTTGGCATTTACATTTGACATTCTCATTTGCCTTCAAGACTCATACTCCTCATATTTCTTCTACCTCATGTTGGTGTTTAATATTGGCACAACTATTGTCATAGCGGTACCTACCTGCTGCCACGATGTCTAGTTGATTCACTATTATCTACTCGACTATCTCGACCAGAAACTCTCATAGGATCTTAGCACATTCTTCACTCAATGAGGAAGGAAACTTATTGTTTAAAACCTCATTTATCAATTAATAAATATATTATATCCTAACGGTTTTTTTTTAAAAATTTAAAGAAAAGATAAATTTTAGTAGTTTTGATTACAACTAACCACATGAGTGCAGAAATCCATCTCATAATTATTGCATCTAATACTATAAAAAAATTTATCATCAATCTTGCTTGTTCACCAAGAATGCTTAAAATCACACCAAATCCAGTGCAAAAGACTATCAATCCTGTAAAATGAAAATAATTTTTTAATTCTCAAAAATAATAAAGTCTTGACGAAAAACTATGGATATTTATTGTCGATACGACCTAGGACATTCATTTCATTGGTATATTCCAATATCGGCTTCATAATTGGCTTTTCCAGTGTAGTATTCCCTCCAGCTCTTTGCATTTTTGGTTTTACAGCGACATAATTTGTTTGAACTTGTTGAAAAGTGGCTTGTATTATGTTCTCAGGGAACATGTTCCTGAAGATCTTTAGGATATTATTAAATTTTTCTATTAACGCTTTAGAAAAATCCATTAAGCTAAACGAGAAAAGCAATAATAAAATTAATTAATTTATATTTGCCCACCTGATTTGATCGAGAAAAGTGTCCAAAGTAGATAATGCTGTATCATCTAATGTACCTTCGCCAAGCATATGGATGAGATGCGGATCACCTGGATGAATCGATGAGACCAAAATTATTCCTGTCTTCAAATGACTTTATCTATTTCAGGTTTAATAGCATAGATAATTCAAAATTAAAAATGTTAGTGTGATGGCTAATATTTGCTCTTAGTGGTATTGCGAAATACGAGAATTAGCCTGTATTTCTGGAACTCGAACCTTCATCTGCCCTTTCAATTATCTTTCTAAATTCCAATATATTTTCTCAATAGCACAACAAATCGGAGAAAAAAGTGAGAGACTAAATGAGAGTAATACGGTTTCAGAGATGATAAGAAAGAGATAAAAAATATCTTAATTTTGTCACTGACAATTTTCTTCCCCTTGATTGAATAGGCTTATGGCAATACGCGAAATACCTCAATTATTTCGTAATTCAGGCTTAGTGGATGTGCAGGTCAAATATTATTCAGTTTATTAAATATTTATTGATTAAAAATAAATATATTCAGTTTATTAAATATTTATTGATTAAAAAAGATAAACTAAAAACGGTCCTTTAACCAGTCTTAATTTTCTTATTTTTTTAATCCTCCAGGTTATTTTTTGTGGAAATTTGTTTATTTATTTTATTATTCGATAAGCTTTTCATTGGCGGAAATATGTGTTCCTATAAATAATAAATATAAATATAAACAAAATAATAATTAATAAATAAATAATCAATAAATATTAAATATAAATAAAATATCTGGTTAAAATTTATAAACGAAAAAAAACTCAAAAATTTCTGGAATAGTGAAAATTTTTCTAGGCTTTTGAATTTGTTACTTAAGTAAATTTCAAATACTCGAAATATTCTTTTAAAGGTCAATATAGGTCAAATCGCGATGGATTTAAATCTCAGTGTTTTTCAACGTTTCATATTTACAAGTTCGTTTTATTAAAGGCTTACAAATGTTGATAGGAATGTAGTTATCACATAATATATGACTGTAACCAAACCGATTTGACCAGCATCACGCGCTCTTAATTGGGCTAAAGCTGTAAAAGTGGATATTGTATTACTCGAAACAGCGGATAGAAAATTCATTTTGATGATTTTTTCGCTTAAAAATTAAGCAATAGAAAAATAAGTTCATTTATTTGTATATATATAATTTTTGTAACTTAGACAAAAGCGCGCGCGCCGCTATCATAAAATGAAAACGAAAAGTTATTTCTATAGATTTCAAATTGGTTTCTATCAGGTTTCACTGGTTTATTTCCTTCTAGCAAAAGTAGAATAAGTTTAAAATTTTGACTTCTATATTTCAGTTACTATATTTAACCTATTGTTTTATTTTCCCTCTCTTCTATTCTTTGTTGTTGACGGTAATATAACTATTACCGGATATAACGGAAGATATAATCATGGGAAGAATCATCATCTCGACGATTTGCATGAATATCTCTCCTGGAAATCCAATGAGACTGATTGTATCATTACTAAAATAATTGCATATGAATTGCATATCATTTTAACTTTAATGAATTTAACAAAATAATAGAATAATTCAGAAATTTTATATGTCTCAACCTATCCTTCTTCGCATTATTTATTTAATTATCGCTCATTTTATTTATTTTTATTCTCATTTCGAATGAATTTATTTAAGACAATGAATAATTCGCAAAGCAAAATTTCTGGAAAAACCGCAGACGAACCTTGGATTAAACGGTCTTATAACGAAGCCAAGAACGACTCCAATAACAACCGACTCAATAGTTAATATTAACAATAAGTCATTCTTTGATTTCATTGCCGAAATAATTTTTTTTAAATGATTAGCGACGAGAAATTAAATTCGATAAATGCTTTCTAAAATTTATATATATGAAATATATCAAAATCAATTCTAATAAATATTTTTAAAAAAATCAAAACAATAAATTGTAACCATCCTCTTCTTAATTAATAAATTTCAAATAGTTTTTGATTATCAGATTATATCATAAAACATCATATTATATCTTATCATATCACTAAGCGAAGTTATAACACCAAACTCTAATGGAATTTATCAATAGTATTTAATTGCTGCAAATTTCCGAAAATCAAATTTCCACTATAGAACTTAGATATGCTATAGAAATAATTGGCTGATTCAGAATAAAACAGTGTTCTTGTGAAGTAAAATACATAAGAAAGAGATTAACCGAAATTAAAAATCAAATACAAATGAAACGTACTACGCCTATAACGAATTTACTAAAAAAAAATTAAAAATTAATTTAAATTAAAAATAAAAAATTAAAAAAATATTTGGAATGGTCGAATTCATAAAATTATTATTAATTGCATTTAGCTTTTAGCATTAACCAAATGGTTGATAAAATTTTCAAAATAAAATCAAAAATTTTATATTAAAATTGCTGCATAACTTATTGTCTAATTTAATTTATAATAAAATAAAATCATTTTATGCAAATTTTATAAACAAAAACTGTGATAAAAGCTTTACTTGATGCGAATCATGAAAAACTAAAAAGGAAGAAACAAGCAAATTAATTAAAAATTGAGTTAGAATTTCATGACGAATTAATATAGACGAGGCTATTGATTGATAAAAATTTTTATGGAAAACTAAATGAGAACAATAATAAAATACTCGTAATACGTGCATAAATTTGGATTAATTTGACTGATCGATAAGAAAAACTGTATTTTTTTGTAAGTAAGTAAGTAAGTAAATTTCAATATTGTTATTTCATTTGTTTTCATTTTTATGATTTTTAAATGAAAAAAATTTTGCTGAATTTAAATTTAAACTTGGAAACTTTACCAATAATTTAGTATTGAACGAGAAGAATATTTAAGGTCAAAATTCTTATAAAGGCAGATTCAGTTTCAACAAAACTTTATATTTAATTGATTTCTTTTCGAAAATTTTTATAAATTTTGTTTTTAAACTTAAATTTTTTTAAAAAAACTTCGAAAAATTTATTTCATTGAGTGAATTAACACATAACTCAAGGCAAGGCAAAACAATTGGATAATGCACTGCAGTTTTTTTAAATTCTTATGAGATTTAAGGCAAAATTCAGCGATGAAGAGCAAGCATGCAGAATTTTCAGATGATAACGAATGATAACGTTTAACTCGTCTACCGATCGGATTTTATCATTTAAAATCAGTATCATTTCATTTCTATAAAAATTTCTTGAAAAGTATGGAATAATGAAATTCTTTCTTTATTTCTCGGCAATTTCATGTAAGAATATATTTCGAAAATGAATTCGTGAGGAGTCATACGATTTTTTTTGATAAAAATGCCTATTTCATCAAAGGTAATTTATTTTTTTTGACCTTTTGGGATACTTTATTTTTATTTGACCTTTTGGGATCCTTCAGTGCCTAAATATTTTTTCAAAATAATACCTTTTTTTTGGTATTATTTTTCACTTATAGGAAGGAAGAAAGAGTATTTATATTAGTTCAATAATTTTCGAGCGGAAAGCATTAAAAATCTTACGCAATCTTTTGTTTCGTTTCTAAATTTTGTTCTCGAAAAAAATCGTATGAATAAAAATATATAAATTTTGTAGCACATTCAATAATAATTCGTAATTCGTATGCAATGCAGTTGATATGTTCATTTTCTAAAATTGAATGAGCGCTTTGACCATTTTGAACTCGTTCCACTGATTTATAGATTAGGCAAATTTGCTGTTTAATGAATTTGCCAGCAATTTTCTACCTTTTGATTGCTCATAAGTTCCAATTTCTTACTTATAACATATTGATTTTTATTTATTACCACTTATTTTTATTATATATAAAAATATTTTTTGTGCTAAAAAAAATGTGATGAAATTCTTATTTAAATATATACTTAAATATTTGTTAAATAATTATTTATTAAATATTATATAAACATGAAAAAATTTACTAATATTTAAGTATTTATTAAATAATATGATTATAATAAAGTTTATTTAAATATTTATTAAATAATAGGAATATAATAAAATTTGGTATGATAATAAAAATTTGCAATTTTATTTTCCAACAACTATTAGAGCGGTCGGTCGTAGATGCGAAGGATTTACATATTTCCTATTAATTTTTACAATTTTTACAGTTTATTTCATAGATGATACAACGCTTCAGTCGAACATACCATATTGAATAAAAAAAGAATTTAACACAATGACTTTAATCACCTTAGGAAATTTTTGTGAAACTTAATTGTTCATTTTTATGATGTGGTATTATAAAAATTTTGGCCAACTAGGTCGCATGTTCTCTTTCAAGAGGTATTTTTATTGCATCGATATTTCCTATATTAATATTATTTATTCAATCAAAAGAATTTTGAATTTATGCGAGAAATCTTTCAGTTTTTTCAACAATCTTTATCATAACGAATTCTTCTTCTTCTAACAGCTCTCACCATTACTGGTTAGGTTGGCTCCAGCGGCTATAGGGATAAGACGCTTCCAAGCAGCGCGTTCTGATGCTATCGTCGACTGTAACCATTCCTTTTTCCATCGTCTAAGTCCATATATTGCTGCTCCACCTATACGTTCAAAATTCATTCAACCTTTACAAAATCGTTCAAAATCTTTTCTGACCTTATCAGTCTTGATTAGTCCACCTTGCTTCTAACGACAGTTATCACAAGGTTTAGCAAATAACGAAATATGCGTCAACTCCTGTGGTGAACGGAGAACGTGCCCTAACCAGCGAAGGCGACGCTCTGTGATAAAGTTATTTAGCAAGTAGTGTTGAATGAACTGTGATATCTCATCCGCTTGACGGACCTGTAAAATGTGCCTTAGATAAGAATGGTCAAAGGCAGATAACTTCTAAATATCCTCCATTCTCATTGGCCATATCTCAGAGCCATATAACAAGATCGAACGGATCACGGCTATATAAATGCTGACTTTCTTTTTATGGTGATTTCACGACGACCCCATAAAAGTTTCTTCAATTGGAAGAACGCATTTCTAGCTGCCGTGATCCGAGTTGTAATATCATCTTTTGCCTGTCCATTTGTGTTATTAGAGTAGACCCAAGGTATTTAAAATCCGAAACTACTTCAACTGGCAATGAATTTACAATATGAGGCATTTTATCAGCTTCTTGCACATAAGACAAAAAAGCCTTTCGTTTTATTTACATTGATCCTGAGTACGATTCTTGCTACAGTTTCACGTTATTTAGTATTACTTGCATTTTGTTATAACTGTTAAAAATTACTATATCATCAGCGTATTCAAGATCTGTGGTACGATGCTCTGGACTAATTCGAGCACCTCTTGAATGTCGAAAAGCGGGTTCATTATCCAGTCTATCGCATAGTTGAATACTGTAGGGAAAAGGACGCAGCCCTGTCGGACACCAGTTTTTCAATAAATTAATTTCGAAAAAAAAGAATGAACAAGTTTTTGTACATTGAATTCACTATTAAATCGAAATGGATTAGTAAAAAATAAATAAAAGAAAATAAGAGAAATAGTCCAGAAAAAATTAATCCACAGGATTCTCTTCTTATAGTTATTGCTAATTTAGAATAACAAAACTATTAGATAAGTTTAAGTTTATAGGAAAAAAGATGTTGAAGATTTCTTTTATTTTTGAATAATATTAGGAAAATATTCCAGTAATTGAACGGTAATCGGCAGGTTTAATTACCCAATTTTGAGGCATACTACGACGATAGTTACGGCACTTTAACATTCAATTTGTGGTATTTTGACACCGAACGAACTACTTTATTACAATAAATCTATGAAATTTACTATTTTTTTTTCTTTTTTTAAAGGTACTTTTCATAAACCAACAAAGTGAACCAAAAGAAATTTTTTGTACACCAAATATAACCCTAATGTTATTGCCTAATGTTACTGAAAAAAAATTTTCCCAAACCTATTCAATCCATATGGTTTTGCTTTTATTCTTTTCAATTTTTTTCCAACTATAAAAAACTGCGAAATGAAAAAATTAATTATCGGATTATGGCAATAAAGAACATTCAATTTGTGGTATTTTGGTACTTAAATAAGCTATTATGTATAAAGAGGAAATTAGCAGAATGGTTCTTGCTTAGGATATCCTTTCATTCATTCATAAGCATTTCATAAGCATTCTGCTTCGGGCAAAATCCAAAAAATCTGCATATTTTCGAAAATTTTTGTCGTCAAATGACTCTCTGATAAAATTCATCTTATCTTATTATCTTGTGTTATTTTCTTATAGTGCTAATAAGAATATGTCTTGTAGATTTTTCAAAAAAATTAAACTTTTTCTTTTTCAAAAAAAAACTTTTTCTCATATTTTCTTGCAGTTTTTTGCGATAAGGAAAAATTTTATAAAATTTCTATATTATAAGAATATTTTTCTCGAGAATTTTTTTCTTTTTTTCAAATCATATTTTTTCTTCAAAATAGAAACATAAAAGTGGGAAATTATGCCAAAATGCAATAATAAATGTGCACAAATTTTACGGTGATATAGAAATCATCGTTTAATGAATGGTGGGTTCGTTGTGACTGGCATAAAATCAAATCCCTTCAACATCGGTGCAATGCATCGGTTCACCGATTTTGCTCCGAACGAAAAATTTTCGCACAAATCGATACATATTAATTTGTTTATAACATATTTCTCATTGCAGTACCTTTAATTGCAAAATTTTTCTATGTTTTATTTTTTATTTCATACTTCATTTTTACTTTTTAATGCAATTTTTTATCAGTTTTATCATTTTTTTAATTTTTAAAAATATCTTAAAGAAATTTTTTTCTTTGCTTTGATAAGCGACTAGTCTTATTCTTTCCATTCTTTGTCTACTTATAAGTTCAAAAATTGTTTTTATTTTATTGTATTTAATGATAAAAAGTTTTGATAAGAGAATTGCTATGACCAATATAACTCAGTTAAAACTTATTTAAATCATTATGCAAATAAGTATGATGAGTTAATTTATTTCAAGTTATAGGACTACGAATGATAAATTAATTTCATCAGCTTATCACAAATGAAACGATAAATTTATGTAATCAGTTGGTTATCAAATACAAATACCATTAAAATGAATGGATAACTACGAAAATTTAGTTAAAATTAAGTAAAGTAAGTTTTTTTCCTAATATAAATTAGCGCTAACTACTGCAAGAAATCGTTAAAACTAGAAAAGATTTTTATAAGCGTAATTTTTTTCAAATTTAAGATCTGAAATCAGTTTTTTTTCCTTTTTCTTTGTCCTTCTACCTTCCAATATCTTTAAAAGAGCATATAAAAGAATGATAATATTTATAAATTATTTCGCCGAATGATAATATTTATGAATTAATTTGATCAAATATCGTGGTTATCAATGTTCTTTCTCGCTGTTAATTTTATTGTCCCCGAAAACTGCAAGCCTTTTTTTCTTCCTCTTCTTATAGGGTTACATGGTAAATGATCGCATGTTCTCTCCTTTTCCCTCCTCCCCCCCCCCCTCCTTAAGGCTGTGAAATCTGTCGTTAAAAATAAATAAAAGATTCCGGGTTGCTGAGGATTCATTTCTCTCCACAATATGGCTCTCAGTTGAAAAGAATCTCAGTCTAATTATAAGTGAAGTTAGCCAAAACAAGAAACAATGAGTGTTACTAGAAGATAGAAAAGAAGGGAATGATAATTCTCTTTATAAAGGCAGATGCCAAACACGTTGATAAACCTTACTATTGTTGTCAATTTGTAAAAAAATTAATTTAATGCAATAAATGTTGATGTGCATTATCAGTTATCTATATCTTGGCTTTAGTACTATCAATTATTAGTTAATCATTTGCATCTCTTCAATTCAATTGAATAAAAGGCTTCATTAATTGGATTAAATTACGTGATCCAAGTCTCGCATGAATATTCTGTGAATAATATAAAATAACATAATTGGCGGAATAATATTTCATTGATAATTATAAATGATAGTTGAGATGATTGAAAACTCGTTCATTTATTAGCAATTTAGAAAATTTTGGAGAAAATTGTTGAAATTCATTGCTTTATCTTCATTGCTTCAAAATATGCAACAATTATATTTAATCTTCAATTTATTATTTTCATTCTACAAATCTCTTTCTTTGTTTTATTAAAAATTATTTCAATTATTTTCAAAAAGTTTTTCATTATTTTTCTTTTTTCAACGATAATTTCATAATTATTTGGACTATTTTATTTTATCCATTTTCATTGGAAAACTGGATTTGAAAAAAAAAAAAAAAATTGGAATATAAAGTCGATTATTAAATAGAAATTTTAGATTTTACAATAAAAAATATAATTTGAATAAACGATCAAATATAATCACTTTTTAACTTGTTCCAAGAAAAATACAACGAAATACGTTTGCATGTATTTATATTTTGTAGCATTTTTAGGATCTCTGGAATGAAAATAAGGTTAGATTGCCTAATTTTCGCATTCTTAACCTTTATTTGCTGCCGATTATCGTCCGATGATCTCATATCACCACTATTACAGGTTTTTTCAAATTTTATGCCAAGTTTTTTTTTCATTTATTTTTTATTAATAAATATAAAATATATAAAATAAATATAATTATTATAAATATTTATAAATATTAGCGAAAAAAATTGAGTAGTAATTGAATTAGAAGACGAATTAATTAATTTAAGGTGAATACTAATTCAAAGAATGCTGGAATATTTATGCGTTTTATGCCAACAGGAATTGCATATTTGCGAGAAATCGGCATGAAAACTGTCAATAATGAAATTCTCAGGATCAAATTGCCATTGGTAACAGAACGTGTTGATGCTGGACAAGTGAATTTTCGATTGAAAATTCTATTATTTCAAATATAATAATAATCAATTTAAATATAAAAATTATTTTGGTCAAAATTTTTTGATCCGATAATTCTTTTGGTTAACTGTTGCTCATAATGGCTGAGTAGATTCGATTGAAGATGAGCAGCATGGATTTGCCTACCATACCTCATAGCTGAAAGTAAAATCTGAGTGGCTGTTGAAGTTCTACCCATAATTTTATCACTTTAGTAGGTATATCAGTAATCACTAAGGTAAAGCCAGCCAAAATCGAAATATTACAAGGTGCTTAAAGGAAAAACTTTTTGATTTACTTAGGCCTGACAAGTTGTTTTTAAAGCCTTTAGAAAAGAATAATTGAATTGTTTTCAAATTATAGGTTACAATTTATAATGCTTATGTGTCAAAATATTGGTCTCCGCCAGAATATAATTTAGAATTAGCGCCTCCAGATATGTTTACGTGGTCAATGTCAAAAATGCATATCAGGTTTTTGCTTTTGATTTTCTTAATAATGCTGTTTTTTGTGGTGTAAAAAAAAAATTATAAATATATTGCAGAGCTGCAGGTGATTTTGAAGTATCCGCACATAATCCTTTGTTACTACCAACGGTACCTATTCGTGGACAATTCGAGACACTTTTTGGCCATATCAGTTTAGCTATAGCTATTAGATTAGGGAGGTGATATTTTTGTATTTCCATTTAATTATATTTTTCGAGAAATTTTATTGAATATTAGCAATTAACTTTTAGAAGTGAAGATGGAGCACCCAGAGTGCGCTCCACATATTGCCAAGCGGATGTTGGTTATGTCGATTTGAATGTCACTAACACCGGTGTGATTACTGATTTCTTCATTAACAGTTTTAAAGGTTCAACTCAAATTTTCTAGTTTTCACCTATTTGTTTCTTGATTTCTTTTTTTTCTATAAGGTATATTCAAACAATTTTTAGAGGAAATGATTGTAACATTTGAAAAAAAAATTTTTATCATTGTTGCCATTCTATTAATATTATAAAATATTATAAAAATATTAAAATATTAAAACATTATAAAAATTATTCAGTTAAATTATTAAATTAAATATATTAATTTAAATTTATTAAATTATTTTTAATATTATTAAAATTATTAAATTAAAATTATTTTAAATTACAAATTATTTAGATATTAATTATTCAATTATTAAATTAAATTATTTAATAATCCATTTAGTTCAGTGAAAGATGAGATAATAGAAACATTAATATTATGCAATAAGCTGTCGGGAAAAAAAATGTTAAATGCCTAAATGCCTAAATATTAATACCTTCATGGATCGAAATTTTTTCTAAAAACTATTCATATAGGATTAATGAATTAAAATTTTTTTCTTATCATATCGCTGTTATCGTTTCAGCGTTTATCATAGCGAATTTCAAGCCGGTTGTGCAAGAACGAATTTGTAAGATGATTAAAAGTGTTGTGAACAACAATATGAATCAAATTTTATCGACAATGCCACTACAGGTGAGTAAATTTCATTGTTTCGATTTTGTGATTTTATTTAAATTAAGTGATGCTAGAATCAAATATTATCAAACGTTTAAGAATTAATGAAATTTAATTCTGGCAAGTTAGTAGAAATCAACTTTTTTCATATATGAGATCATATATGAGACTACTATTGGCTACTAAGATACATTCACCTTCCACCTCTGACTTAATCCTATAATTGAAATTAATTGGATATAATTGAATTTTTGCGCACTCTAGCCGCAAAGATTTTTTGTTAAGTTCAACCTGGTCTCACTCGTATGGTACCAGACAAAAGAATTTCTTGTACACCTATAAAAAATGGGATTTCAGGCATTAGTTGTAAAAATATATCGAAGATATTTAAGATCAGTTCTTGCAGTAGCAATGAATTTCTAAAAATAAATATTTTATCAATTCTAGTTTTATTAGTGTGTCATTGTCCATTCTTCATTTCAAAATAAAAAATAAAAAGAAGATGGAAATTTTAGGCAAATTTTAAATAATCTTTTTATTAATTCGAAAATATCCAAAACCTTTCATAAAATAATTTATTAATTTATTATAATTAATAAAATAATTTAGCCACTTTAATCAAATAAAATGATATGATTCTCAGGTACATCTGCATGAAAATACAATCGATATTATTGGTGAAACTTTTGGTCTAAGTGAAAAGAAACCACTAAGTCGTTATGGAGACTTAGGTGCAAGAAATATAACTTTAACGAATATAATTCACAATCTTAGAAAGCAGAATCTCATCCTCGATTATCGCTTAATAAAGGATCCTTTGATTGCATATGGATCAATTGGTATGTATATCAAAGGCGAAATATCCTGGTAATTCATTTCCATCCCGAATTTTTTCTATCCCAAACTGAAAAGTAATATAATTAAAATTGCAACATTCAAAACGAATGAGGCAAAATAGAAAGAGAAAAATTGTGGCAAACAGGAAAGCACAGATTTATATATTTTTCTAAAATATCTACTAGTGGCTCAGTGAGTTGTTGCGGTCGAAGTGTTGGGATTTTCCCGGCAAGTCTATTTTTCATAAATCCACATGATACTTTTCCCTCTTTTATCCGATAAAGCAGTGAACATAACCAGAAATAGTGAGCGCTTTTGAATAAAAAAATCTAATAAATGGAAAAAATTTTTATTCAAAAAAAAATAATTACTTTTGAAAATATTTTTTTACTTATTAATTAATTATTTTAAAAGTTATTTTTATCAATTTATTTTAATATTTTGTGAATTTTAAGAAAGGAAAACATCAAAATTTCCCTTAATAGTATTTCTTCGTCGAATCATTATTATATTTTATATTTATTTTTTACACTTTTTTAAATAAATTTAAAAATTTTGATAATTTTGAAAATTTATATTTTATTCTCGAAATTTTTATGAATATTTCAAATTTCTTTATCCTTTTCCTTTTTTCCTTTTTCTTTTTTTTTATTTCAAAAATGAGAAATATGATTAATGAAACATATTTGCAAATAATATGTTCATAATAATAAACACGATTATAACCGGATTTATATGCGATTTGTACACTTCATCAGTTCCACCACATTCAAATGCAATTTTAGAGATAATATTGGCTTTCGAAAGATAATTAGCCGTTAATTTCATGCATTTTTCCCTAATCGATCGACTAATTTAATTATAACTATGAAATATAAAATGAAATATTTAAAAATTTAAGCTCATATTAAAGGAATGGCTATGGTGGAACACCATTCGATCCTCCAAATGTTGAAATACCCCCACCACATGGTTAGTTGCATTGCATTCATCAACTTATAGCTATATCATCGCTATAGATTAACTCTTAACTCTTGAAAAATATCAAAATAATCTATGAAGCGATTAGCAAATAGTAATTCCGTTTTTAATCATGCATATAGACAGAAATACAGGAAAATTCATGCATTCATCCCCTTGCCGAAAATTTTATTAAAAGTTAATTCATACGAGAGATATTTTATTCTTTTTATTTTTTATATTATGCACGCATTTCGTTAGTAATATCAATACGAATTCTAGGAATTCATATGGTTGAATTTTTTGGCACAGATTACTTAGCGAATAGTATGCTGTATCATGCATTCAGACAGAAATATATGGATCTGAAAATTGGACCAGAATCAAGTAATCGTTTGGAAAATCTTCTGTTCACCTCATGTAAGGTTGGATTTTGTGTTGGCGAACAATTAGGGTTATTGTCCGAACAATTTCCTGATCGCGAAATCGAAATTCACTTCTTCGCTCGTAAAGTATAGTTTTTCCATAATTTTTTGTAATTTTTTTATATTTATTTATGGCTAAAATTTGAATAATCAATTATCAATTATTGAAAATCAAATACTATTTATTAATCGATATGGCAAAATTTGACCATTTTAATAACTGTTCTATGTTTTTTGCAGTCACCAATATTGGTATTCGTGGAAAAACGTGCTCGTTTTAGATTGTATGGAGGAATGGATATGTATGTAAGGCCAGCGAATTCAAGTCAAGTAAAGATAAAAGTTGGTTTAACGCTGATTAACTTAAATCTTCGCATTAAAATTATCGCATAAAATCAATTCAATTGATAAGTTGATAAGTTTGGAAAAATTGTTGGGTTATTCACTGATAATTTGCTATTCACATAATTCTATATTTGTTAAAGAGAGATGGAGAGATGGTTGAAGGCGATTTTGGTGATAGATAATTCCCTCGTGAAATTTGAGCTAATCACGAATTGAAATTGTATTTTCAGATTCTTAAATGTGATGCAACTCTCACATCAACGATGTATCTACAAATTGATGAATTTCGAGTTACTGGAAATGCTTCCGTGGAAACTTTAGATTTTAAACTTCGCGAAACAATCATTAAAGATGTCACACAAGAGACACTCAATGATTTGAGCCTATTCGCTGCCGAATTTCTTCAAAACATTTTAACTGAAATTCTAAAAATCGGTATTATGATGCCAAAAATGAAAGGAGTTATGTTGAAAAATCCAAAGTAAGATTCATTCTTCTTTTCTCTTGTTTTTTTCTGGATTCAGTATTTAGGAGAATTTTCAAAAAAATTTATTAAAATTTATTTCATAGAAATTGAAACAGAAATTGCAAATATGAAAAAAAATAATGTATCGAAATTCTAAAAAAAATTTAATGCATAAATAGAAATTTAATTTAATCTAATTTTTTTTGTTTTTCTATTTTCACTTCTATAATCCGGAAAATAATGAAAAAAAATTAGAAAAAATAATTAAAATGATACAATGGTACTATGCCAATTTACTAAAAAGAACCAAAAATTTTTCCCTCATTGGAATTTACGAAATATCCTTGCTTTTCTCCATTTTTCTCAAAAATTTACTATCGTTGAGGGTTCTCTTTTTATCGCTTATTTTCTCATTTTTATCGTAATTCTCTCCAAATAAGAGAATTTTATAGAATCTGCATCGAATATTCAAAAAATTATATAGAAATAATGAATTAATTTTCGAATGAAAATATTTATAAATTTATATATTTCAGATTATCGTTACACGAACGATATTTAAAAGTTCAAACTCTTTTTAAACTTGATGAACGTTTCACTGGTCGAATTTTAGAAGGCGCTGTTCAAGAAAGCTTAAAAAATTTTCGTTCGAGCTAATATACATATATATTTATAAAATAAAAAATTACTTGTAATTTATTACAATATAAAAATAATTATTTTATAATTTTATAATTTATAAAATAAACATCAAACAATCAAATAGCCGGGCCAGCATAATTATTCCTCACATTCCTAATCTGTTCTTTTCGTCATAAAATCTGAATTTTATCTTCGATTAGATTATCATGGCTTTCCCAATAAAGATAAGAAATACGATTTCATTATCACTGATATAAATAAAATAAAATAAATAAATAAATAAATAAAAAGCAAATATCAGAAATCATTTTCACGCATTTTCATCGAAAAATGAATTTGTACTTACAAAGAAGAATAAATAAAAATAATTGTTGAAACGAACAGTTTTGAAATTTATTTTGAAGAAAATTTTTTTTCCTGGTTCCTACCAATTTCAAAAAAATTAGATAATATATTTTGCCAATAATTTTGTATCATACGAATCGAGACATGACTCATGGATAAGACTGCATACGAAGCAACGTTTTTGAAATGATTCAAATTTCAGCAAATAATAGCCTCGTCTCGATAGATTCTATAATTAACTACTTCAGTTATTTAATTTTTTATTATTGCTGTTATCAAAATCATTATTACTATCAGCATTATTATCGTCGAGAACCACGATAAAATGATAAGATTTAATAATCTATTGCTTATATTTACTTATTTTATTTTTTTCTTTTTAAAAAACAATGAAAAATTTCATTAAAAACGAATCACCTTTAAAAATTCGATAAAATGTTTGGTCTTTTCATAAAAATTGACAAAAATTTGACAAATTTGAATTTTTTCCAGTAAAGTTTCAGTCGCATGTATTTGTGCTTCTGAATTTTTTAAAAATCAATCGGAAACTTTCGTTCGATATGAAAATATAAAATATTTAATGAAACTATCGGAAAGTGATAAAGGCTGCATGAGCAGGCAGCAAACAATAAAATGATTAATAGACGAGAGTTGGAAAAATAATGAAAATGCGAAACCATTAATCCTCTTCTGTTCGCTTTAAATTACCATTAAAAATATTAAAAATACAAAATATAAAAAATACAAACAAAAGCAAAAACAACACAAAAACAAAATATCTAAAAAATATATCAAAAATCAATATTGATAAGTTAATCAGTTGAAAGTCGATTTTATAAAATAATTAAGATAGGATCTTTATGAAAAAAAAAATTAACAATATGAATATATAATAAAAAAAAAAGCTTGACTTACTTTTAATTTGCAATTTAATCAGTTCTACTTTAGCATTACTATTCTTAAAATAATTGGCTATTTCAGTAATGGTGAAATAATTCTGTGTTTTGTTAATTTCAGCTGTCCCAAAATAATTTAATCCTTTTTTTTGTTTAACTTCTCCATTTTTCTGAAATTTAAAGCTTTTATTTAAAGTTCTGAAAATTTTAAAAAGATTGCAACGAGGCGATGTGAAGAATCAGCTGAGAATTAAAATATCTCGTATAATGGTGAAAACCAATTCTTTAATTATGGTATATGGAAAAACGTAGTAAAAGTTGTCATTCGTCATTAGTAAAATTACTAAGTTCGAAAGTAAAGTAAAACACTTTTGATTTAAATTTTTACAAACGATGCGGTAAAACATTTAAAGGATTCATTAATTTTTGGTTTACTTAGATCTTTATCCTTTACAATAGTCTTTGTTGTGCATATCTTTTCTTCCACACGGACAACCAGTTTCAGCCTAAGTAAACCCAGGAATTCGATAATCTCATGATAATTCGCATCATAAATATTTTCTTTTGTCTTTAAAATGGTAGCTGCATTGTAATACCACTAAAACTTACAATTATAGGTATCTACAACAGATACAACAGCAAAAAACTCGATTATTTACTACGCCCATTAAAGCAAATTATCTAAGGCTCAGATTTAAAAAATGGATTGCCTCTTAAGCCTCTTTTGGAATAATGTAATTTATGATATTTCGCTAATGCTATATATTTTTAACGTCAAAAAACAAGCAAAAATAGAAATAATGAGGATGATTTCTCATGAAAATATAAAATCATTACATACATATGCAAATACACATTTATTAGCACAAAGGCTTCTTCCTGAGGTGCAAAATTACGTCTAAGACTATAATAGTGGTGGAACTTAGAATAAAGCTGAAATTTGAGCCGATCCGATTCTTCTTTATAATCTAAAAAGGAAACTTAAAAACCATTTTTACTGATTTATTCAGTTACAAATAACAAAAGAGACCAACAAACAAGAAGTGAACACCAAAAGAAGATAACAATGTCAAAAAAAATATCTAATAGTTAGTTTTAATTTAAAAAATTTAATTGATAAAATTACCCAAGTGAAAGCGAACAATCGACATTTGTGTTCACTGACCTCTTCAATTTCTCTATAAAAATTGAAATCAGGCCTATTCTCCAATCTGATTGAAGCGATCAAGCATTCATAAGGCAAAGAATATGGATTACAAATCCAGTGTCCAGCACTAATTTGTCCGAATTTCACAAGAATTGAGCAAAATACCTAAAGCAAATATCTATTAAAATATGGATTTAGCCGAGGTTTTATGCAAAATTTAACGAAAATTTATGAAACATAGCGAAAAGTTGTAAGCGTAAATATTGCATTCCCTTCAGCAGCGATAATTATTCTAATCTCAATTTGTGATTTTAAGAAATTGCTAATTTTTAGAAATTAGTTGAAAAAATGAAATAAAATGCAATTTATCTATTGTTACAATTAGAACTATGAAAATATTAAATAAATAATTTTAAAATAAATAAAATATTAATTTTTAAAAAATCTAATCAGAATTTATCAAATTTTATCAAACCTCGGGAACAAGAATATTTTGAATTGGAATCACTTTATCCTTACTATGCAAAATTTTTCGTCGATACGGCGCTTGTTTAAGGAAATAATTGCGCATTTTGCCAAATTCATTCGAAACGAATATTTCTTTAGTGATATTGATAGGTCTTTCATTTTTTATTTCGGGTATATAAATAATTAAAACAATAATAATTAGCGTCAAAACGAGAAATAATTGTAAACGAATTATCATCTTAAATAAACAGTTAATTTTAATTTTAAAAAAATGTAGAAATTTTTTTTTTCAAATATTTATTAGCCGATTTTAAATCAAATTAAAATGAATTTTTATATATTTTTATATATTTTGAATTGTGCAAAAGGAATATTTTTTTACATTATGAATAAATTAAATTTAATTATAAATTAAATTTAATTTAAAATAAATATAAAAATTAAAAAATTCAAAAAATTGATAAAAAAAATAAAAAACTGAAATAATATAAAAAAAAGGAAAATAGGAAAAAATATTTTAAAGTCGATATTTATTTTTACATTAAAAATTAAGTTTTGAATAAGTCAAATTTAAATTAAATTAAATTAAATCTAAATTAAATTTCAAATAAATGAATTTAAATTTTAATTTAGCAATAGAAATTTTTTTTAATCTTCAATGTGTATAATTTTATCAATTCAAGAAGGCGTTAATAATAACTGGAAAATTTTATAATTACATAAAAACTCATATGGCTAAGCTCACTGCTCGATAATTTGTATTGGACTATTTCCAGAAAATCTTTTCACGGTGAAAATTTAGATGGGAGGCGAGTATTATCCGGATTTTTCGAATGATAGGTTCATTACTTGCCAGTAGTGAAATTCTAGCATCGGCGCTGCGGAAATATGTGTAGTACTCCACTGAGCCATTCCCACATTTATAAATATTATTGTAAGTTTTATAAAATGTATTATATATACAACGAAATATTAATACAAATATTAAAAATAATTATTATAATTACAAAAATTATTATAAAATGAATAAATTTAAAAAAATAAATTTCGTAATTTCGAAATAAAACCATTTTCGAAGGAAAAATGCTTTTTTTTACATAAACAGTTGAGTAAATTTTAATATATACTACTCTCGCATATTTATTTAGCAGCCTTTTTATAGAATTATTTAGAAAAAAAATTGTGGAATTAGCCTTTAGATTCCTTTTGTTTCAATAATTATTAATTTTATTATTAATTCTAAGAAATTATTAATTTTTTATTTATTAATAATTTAAAATACATTGTTTAACAATAGATATTTTATAGATAAAAAAAAGGTTTTTTTTTAAATATTTCTTAAGATCTGTTCATTTTTTTGTAACTCGAATCAAAATCGTTTCTCGCATTCTTAAAAAAAAGCATTCTTCGAGATCGAAAACGGCAAAAAGTTATTTCTTGAACTGTACAGTTCTCATTCGGAATAATATCGACAACATCGGAAATCAGAAATCATTGTCCTAGAATTAAAATCACTTGGTTGCCTTAGTTCGCTAGCAAAATCTTTAATTAAATTACCAGACTATTATTTTTTAAAGTGTTTCTTGAGCGAATAATCGAGGACATAATTGAATAGGAGCTAATAAAATATTTGAAAAGGATTTAAAAATATGATAATAACAATTAGCTGCAGCTACAAATGAATGATAAAAATTATAAATATATGCGAATAAAGAGTTACATCAATCAATTTCTTCAAAATTTTTTCTGAATGAAACGAATAAGCTGCAAGCAATTTCAGTGGTACTTTGATCGTTCCATTTCTTCTAAACATATATCGTTTCTGGCTTTAATTATTAGCAAATGCGATCCCTTTATCATTTATCATTTAATGATAAATATAGGCGAGTTTCTAGCACCAACTGGAATTTGAGTTTGAATGAGCACTCTTTTGACTATTTTTTCAAGTTAAAAAATTGAGCCCCCTTTTTCATCGTCAAAGCGATTTATGAGTTCGAAATTTTATCATTATATCATACCATATATTATATCATTATCTTTATAAATGTTGCAATTAAAATATTTATTAATATTTTAATTTTCTTCATAGAATAAACATTTTCTTTTTTTTTCTCTCCAATTCTGCTTCGTTCACTTGTTGGACTGTTAAAATTTTGCCAGTGCGTCAATTAGTGAAATATAGATAGATAGCAAATAATCACTTAGATTTTGAAAGTACACAGAGTAGGATTAGCGCTCCGAAATGATAGAAATGAGAACCATTTAGACGTTTTATTCAATCAGCAATAATTATATGTCAAACTAATTTGTATAATTAGCAAATTTTAGCGAAAAAAAAATCCTCGAAAAAGATATAATTCATTTATTGCTTTTTTATGCTCTTTTATTATCTTTTTCTGATATAAAAGTATAGTGCCAAGTTTATCTTTTATCAATTACAAGTTTCAATGATAAAAAAATGGCAAAATGATAAAAAAATATTATTCAAATAGGAAAAAAGAAGTAAAATATCCTAAATATTTTAACCTACAAAAATAAGCCATTGACTGAAAAATGGATATATCCAATAATAAACATTTTTCTATGAAAAAATAGTACCTAAGTTTTTGATACGATAAGCTAAAAGAGATCAGCTAAATCTCTAAGGATGTGCCGATCCGATGCTTTCAAAAAAATAACTCTTAATGTTTATAAATATATTTTCAAATAATTTTTCCAATTTTCCAATTTTCAAGCTTTTAATATTTATGAATATATTTTAAAAATAATTTTCCCATTTTTATATTCATTTATAACAATCTCTTTGGCCAATAAAAAATTTTCTCAAGAATTTATCAAAATAGATTTAATAAAAACTGGATTAATGTGGATTATTCAACAGCGAATCAATGCAGTAGTGTTGCATAAGATGCTGATAGCTTAGGAAAAAATGGCTTTAAAACCTTTAAATTTTTGTTCTTGACGATAAATTTTTTAAAATTCTATTAAAACAAATTAATTTTATTGCATTTTAGTTTATTATTTGATATTGAATTATAAATTGAAGCCGAAATTCGACCGATAGATTTTTTGGTATTGTTGGCTAAATTTTTCATAATGATATTGGGCAGACGATGGCGATAATTGGAATATATCATCGTCGTCACCATCTTTTCGAATACGTCGCCATTTTGCGCGTCGATTTTGAAACCAAGTTTTCACCTTAAAAAGATAATAATAGCTATGATTCTTTGTATATTAATGGATAAAATAATCGCTGAATCCGATGGAACGCTTCGATAAATTCGAAAACCGATTTTGCTTAAACAAATATAAGAAAGTTTGAGAAATATAAAAACTTGTCTCTCTGATAATTGAAGATTTTTCGCGAGCTTTTTTCTTTCATTCGATGAAAGATATTTATGATTGCTGAATTTTTTTTCTAAAGTATCAGTTTGTTCGTTTGTGAATCGAATTTGGCCACCTTTTCGCTTTTGGCTTATTCGTTGAAAATACGGATAAAGCAAAGGCCATTGCTTCCAGTCTAAAAATAATGAGAATTATCAATAAAGTTATCATTCTGAATGGTAATAATATCGATTTGAATTATTTAGCTGTTTAGCGTTCGAAAATGAATCAAGAGGAGGAAGATATCTAATCAAAAAACTTTATATAATAATACTTATCCAGTTGTATAAGCAAGCAAGAAAAAATTAGTTCTTCAAATTGTCACTTGTGAATATTATAAAGCGAAATAATAATTTTAATATATTTCATGATAGATTTCTCTATTAGAAAATAAACGAGAAAAACAATTGCAGAATAAAGAGAAATTTTGTCTATGAACAAAGTACCAATTGCCATATAATTTTATTATTATTGTAATTCTTCGAATATTTAGGCAAAGAATGATACGTTGGCTCAAATTTTAGTCAAAAATTACTTTGTCAAATTTTGATTTTTTTTTTTAAATGATAAACTAAAAATGTCAAAATATTCACTATTCAATTTTTTTTTTGATTTTCTTATTTTTATCATTAATTTTATCGCAGAATCTAAATTTAATGAACGAAATGCGGAATTTTTTCAAAAATCAAATTGGTTCCAAAAACCATATGGCTCTTCACAGTTGCGCGTTTATTCCAACAAGGCAATATATAAGAGGTCATTATGTTATTATGTTAAAAATTTTTAATGGCTCTACTAAAAGAATTATGGCGAATTTTTTTTTTCTTTATCACAATAAACCCTATAAAGATTAAAAATTTCTATAAAAATAAGGTCGAAAATATTTTAAAATGACCATTGTTTGCTTAATAATAGACGATACACTCTGATCAGATAGTATTCATATGCCCTTAAATAGAATAAATATCCTTTAGCGGTTATATTCAAAGGAATATAATGTACTCTGATAGATTAGAAGAAAAGAACATCAGATTAATAAGAAGCTTATTTTTGCTAAAGCTTGATCCTCTAATTAATAGGTTATTAATACCATTATTGACATAAAACCAGTTAACCTTATTCCTTTATTAGTCTCATATATGAATTAAAATTTATGAATATTTCAGCCAAAGTTTTTGTTTTTTTTTTTTTTTTTTTAGATGGCCACGATGCTCATTGATGATAATTGCTCTGTGGAAATAATTTTTCAATGAGGAAAGAAAAGAAAGTTTTTAAATTAAATACAATGAAAAATAGAAAGAAAAGCGCTATAGTCTTTAAAAATATAATGCAAATAGTGCTGAAAATTCATTCGATACTTTGTAAAAAAAAATCCTCCACTGAAAAGTTTCTTAGCAATTAGATCCAACCAGATTCAACTAAATTAGGAACTAGTAGAAAGATCAGAAAATAAAAAAAATAAAAGTTATTAAAAAGTTATTAATACGAGACTATACAATGAATTTGTGAGATGCACTATTTTAAAAAATTCAAAATTGATTTTAAAGATTTATAAAATATTTATATTTTCAATTTAAGTTTTTCTTTTAAGGCTTAAAATATTTTCCAGTGCAAAAACGTATCGTTTAAGGTCTATTTAAAGCAATTTCCCAAGCAATTTTCATTAACCGTTTTACTTGGTTGGCAGGTAAATTCGGATTGCGTTCAGGCACTTATTTTTAAGAGTCCTCACTATTGCTAGTTAAACTCTCTGCGCTAGTTTATTGCACTGGACAAATATGCCACGGAGACCCTTAGCGATAGCGATATCGCCAGTATAAGCCGGATTTTTGAACAGGCTTATTCCCGTGGGGAATAGAACCTACCTCGCTATCGGTACTCCGAATTAAACAACACCTCAATTTTCATTAACTGTCTTACTTGGTTGACTGATAAATCCGGTTGAGGATAAATTGTTGCATATGCGTTCAGGCATTGGATTCAAATGGTTAATTTTATGCCAAAGTGGTGGTTCTATGTCATATCTTATCGATGCAGCTCTTGAAATCGGTGGCAATAAATTATACGGTGCATTATTGATCTTCTCGTCAAATTCCGAGGTACCATTTGCACATCTACAATTCGATTTGCGATAATTATTCTAAGACTCATTTGCAGTAAATAAATAAAATAGGCTGAAAAAATGGAAACGAAAAATTGCCATAATTTACCGATTCTTCTGATGAACGCTTTCACCAGATGATTCTAGTAAGCGATTAATTGAAAATGACATTGCACATCTTAGATCTAATGAGGAGATAAATAAGAAGATGACAATAAATTCTGAAAGCAATAATACGAAAAAAAAAAAAAAATTGATGAGGAGGAGGATAAAGCTTTTCATAGTTCATCATACGGTATTCACAACAGGTAAACATTTAAACAATGATGAGCACTCTTGTACAGTTAATCACCTTCATTAATGATGACATTTACCATCAAATATCATTATCGTTCGATTTCTTCTAAGTGATCCATCTCCTAGAATGACAGGCATATTGCCACAGCTTTTATTTATTTGTTAAAGAATATCGTCGTGTTCATTTTCAACAACTTTTTATCAATTTTTGTATCGAATTGCATATATTCTATTCTTTTCTTATAAGGCAAATTAGAAATAAATATTGCAAGGAAGATTTTTCAATATTTTCAATCCAGCAGTTCCGGATGATGCTGGCGTCTCACCTGTATTTCTATCGCCAAAGGACTTCCTGGCATTTATGTCCAATGCGACAAGCCAGTGAAGCGAGTTTAATCTGTAATGGTGAGGACTCTTGAAAAAAAAAATCGAAAAATTTTTTTGTAAAAATTGTAAATAATTTAAAAATAAATTTAAAGAGAATATTTTCTATGTTGAAAATTTTACTATAATAATAATAATTTTACTATTTCTTTTCTTTTAGAACGATTCGCAGCTCCATTAGCTGAAACGATAAGGCGATTTCTAAAGTTGTTTGATCAAATACAGTGTCTAAGAGTGATAAAAAAACTTCTTTTTTTCACTAAGCCTACCTAAGCCTATCTAAATAATAGTTGCGATTTACAAAAATTTAGCAACATTTAGCATACTATTATAGATCTTAAAATACTGATATGATATTTGTTTAGCTGATTGAACAAAAGACAACAACCTGATGGATGAATGCTGAGGACGATGATATATTTATTGGCTTTGTAATTTACCGACTTCTTTTCAAATATTATAACGACAAGTTCATCGCATTATCAAACAAATGTTTCTCAAAGAGAAAATGAAGTGTTTATCGATGTCGATCGATTTTAGGCGATCAAGTACAGAATCCAGAAAATTGTCACTGAGTCTCTATTGATGCTTTGGTATTTTCTGGATGAATTTTTTCGAAACTAGAATTTCAGTGATTGACTCTAATAGATCTCCCATTTCTTCTTTTTCGACTTGTTCTAGTATAATACTGCGAAAATTTGACCCTTTCACCATAGAATCGCTTGGAGATAGAGTTACATGTGAGCCCTCAGCAGCCACACGATACTACACACTCATTTCAGATTCCACTGGCTCCAGTACTTATTAGTCTTCATTAGAGGACTATGTGGCCATTATTTAAGGCACTGATTTACTACATTCACATAAAAGATTAACGTTTGACCACATTATCTATTTTTATTCAGTGATTCTTAAAAATATGGTAAATTTATACTAATAACAAAGAATCAAGAAGAAATTAATTAAAGGATGTAGAAATTAATTAAAGAATTAATTAAAGAAAGGGATTTAAGGGTAAAAATTCGTTCGATTTTATGGCTATTGGAAAAAATTTTAAAGAACGAAATATCAATAATTTGGTGAGATAGGATAGTTAAATTGGTACTAATAAATTCGCTCTGTATCGCTTGATAATAGGTAAATGAGATGACAGTCGATTAAGAATGATAAATGATAACAGACATGCATTTCATCTTTCCATCCTAGGTGCGGTTTTGATGTCGAAAAAATGATACTTGGATAAAATTTCACGAATTCACTGCGATATCTGCGTTTATCTAGGTTTTTTTTTTAACTTACTGAATGATTTAGGCTTGAACGCTTTGTATGATAAATTTATCAGCGTTCACAACATTTATCAATGTTTATAAAATAAATTATTTATAATCCATTGATCTTAAAGCTATTCTTTCTTGCATTTCGTTTCATATTTTCAAATCTAATTAAGCTAATCATTAATACTATTAATACAATTAATGCAATCAATTTTAGCAAAAAAAAAAATTAAATTAGTTAATTTAAAATATAATTTAATTTTAATTTAAAGAATATATTGAATTTTTACCGTAATAATAATCGTATTTTGTGATGCAATTAAGCGATTAAATCTGTAAGGTAAACAATAAAACGCGTTTATTTACTAATTTTTGTTTGAACAGTTAGTAATTTAATTATAGATTAATGAAATAAATATGTCTTCGATATATATTTCTTATATAAATAATATCATACACATTAAATAAATATGTAACTCATTCAATCATTAAATCAATTCCATTAATTCAATAATTCGTTATTTATGAGTGATATATAGTAAAATAATAGAATTATCAAATATATTGCATTGATACAAAAAGGAAAATTAGGAAAAGGAAAAGGAAAACACAAATGAAAAGGAAAAGGAAAATTTTTTTTATTTTTTTTTTGTTTCATGAAAAATTTTCGAGCCGATTTTATTACAACACTGTACACTTATAAATTCGAACCAAAATTCTGGAATTCGCGACACTTGAATTGCGCTAAATGGTAATAGATGCACCGTTAAAAAACTGAACATTTCATCGAATTTTCATCGAATCAGCTATTTATTTACCTAAAAAACATTGCATTATATACGGCATTAAGCCAAATCACTATTAATTCTGATAATATCATTGCAATTTTAAGGTGATGAGACTTGTCAACTGATGATTTAAAGATTATTCAAAAAAACTGTTTGTTGCTTAAAGCAATAAGGTAAAAATTATATGAATGGGGACGGAACGGTTCAAAGGGTTTCTGCTTAATTCCGAGCACCCATACTGAGGATTCTATTGCATCCCCCGCAGGAGTGAACCTATTCAAAAACCTTGATGGTGGTGGCGATCCACCTGCATTTTTATTGAGAAGGGAGATTCCCTGGTATATCTGACTCGTACGACAAGCCAGCGGAGCCAACGAGTCTAATCATTAATGAAAGCCCTCAAAAAAAAATTGTGAGAAATATTATTAGCGTTAAATAAGGCCATTTATAAAATTTTTATAAAATTTAATTTGCATAATAAAATAAAATAATTTTCGTCTATGGATAAGAATCAAATTGATTTAAAAAATTTTTTTTTTTGAAAATATTTGATAAAATAGAAAAATATTTTCGCAATATTGTCATAAATTCTATGAGAAATGGATGATCGAATTAATCGTTTAAAAATTAAATTTGTTTTCGAATTATCGCACTTATAATTTTTAGATTAGCGAGAATTATCAATTTTGCCACTTTTCAAAGAAATCGCTTATCATCTCGAAAAATATTTTTGCAATTTTTCTCACTCACTTACCACAATTATTTCTTAATATTACAAATCTCGACAAATTCGATAATTTCATCAACATTACTACCAATTTAATTTTTACAATCTTGAAAACTTGTACTCTAATAAACAAAAGCCTATATTTTTAATTAATCGAAAATTTACAAGCATAAATAGAAATCATCAATCACTTATTTGTCATAAAAACTCGTTTTTATCAGTACCTGTTATAATCACATTGAATTTTTCTTTATAATCTTCTATCTTTAAATCGAAAGATTATATTAATTTTATTTAATAATTATGAAAAATAACAAAATTGGCTGATAATTTTCCGCTGACTATTATTGCTAAAAATTTTCAACCAAATTTATATTTCTTTATTTTTTTTGATTAAATGATCATTAAATTTGCACATTATATTGTGATTTTGATTCAGTCAGACGAATAATAATAATAATAATAATAATAATAATAATAGCGTAGAAATTGTCGATAGATTTCTGAAAACCATATTGAATATAAATTGAGAAAAAAAAAATTCGGGAATGAACTTTAAGAAATGTTTTTCATTTAAGAATTTTTTCCCTCTAAGGAAACAATTCTTGAAGATTGCTTGGAATTTTATAAACGAATATTTGTTCTTTAAACTATATACTGTAAGATTTATGGATATCGTATTGTTTTTTAATTTGCGTAAAATTATTTAATTACTTTCGAGGATTTTAAAGAAATTCCTTTGCAGATTGACTATAACACTTATTATCATCCTCTCGTCCTATTCATCGTTCTAACCAGGTTTTTGCATTTCAATTCTTTAAGAAAAAAATATATGTTCAAAAATATATGTATAAATATATGTTCTCATTTATATATTTTTATATATTTTATTATATTTTATATAAATATATTTTATATAATAAACTTAATATAATAAATAATATAAATAATAAGTTTATAAAATTTGAAAATTTATAAAATTTAAAATTTAATAAATATAATAAATAAATTTTTATATATTTATTTATATTTATATATATATATACAAATATATATTTTTCTCATTTGTTTTTTTTTGAAATATCTCTCATGAAATTCCTCAATTAACTGCACTTCTTCATTTCTTATTTATTTAAACAAATTTTTTAAATTTTCTATCAGGAATTTCAATTTTTTTAAATTCATTTTTATAAAATAGTAAAGCTTTTTAACGAATAATTTCTAGAAATCGTGGTAATTTATCGATTTCAACAATGATGATGGAAGATCAAACTACGAGTAATTTTATTTTTTGATTACAAAAAAAAGATTTATTATTTATTATCCGATACCAAATTTGAGAGAGACTCTCTTATTTTTCCTTTTTTTTCTTTTTCGATCGTCCAAACCCATATATCGTCTTGAACTGCCTAATCATATCAATCATTATTTTGCATTCTGTCAATTTTTATGATATTATCCGTATAGATAGCATTAGCATTCAGAGTAAAGGTAATAAAGGTGTGCTCATATATAGGCATAAAGCGATGATTTTTTTAAAGAAAAATTTATAATATTCCATATATTTCAGATAAACCTGCATTCGACGATGTTTCGTTAGTATTTTGTACATTTATATTTGGCCTTCTCTTCTACTGAGAAGCTAATAATTGACATGCGCGCGAACGACTATTTAGCGAAACGTTTGCCTATGGACATTACGTTTCTTTATGTCGCAATATAATATAAAAAATAATTTCATGATTCCAATATTAATTCTCAATCGCTACTGATGTCTGAAATATATGCCTGAAATATTATTTTGGAATTTTTTTAATTATTTTTTCGTTAACCTTTTATATTTTTATTTTTCCAGTTTCTTTAAAACATATTTTATTACTTAAAAATTTTAAAATTTTAAATTTTTGAAATGAAATTTCTTATTTTAAATACTTTTTCCTTTTTTGGCAGAAATTTTCTTCAGTGGAACTAGCTATTGGCTATAAGGAGGGATATAATTCGATGCTCTAACCAAATTTTTTCTAGAAAATAAGAGCGGATATTATTTTTACATACTAAAAGCGAGAAATATATTCTATAAATATATTCTATAGTATAGTGCAAATATTAGTTAACAAAATAACTAACCTTTCATTTTCATATTCAATTTTTATTTTCTTAAAATTGCTAATTAATGCTAAAATCATGATTGGTGAATTGAATTTTTTAAAGAAATAAGCACACTATAAATTATTACAGTAATTGTCCGGTTTTTAGAACAATTGATGTTCCACCAAATTTTGATAATTATAGCAGCAATACAACGCATAGACCGAGTATTGGTGAACTTATTGGAAATAAAAAAATTGCTCCATTTATGGTGAGTTTATTTTTTTGCGTGGTTATTTAAATTGTTAAAAAAGAGGAAAATTTTTTGAGGAATGAAATTCAATTCGACTATTTATTTTTATAAATTTTTTGAAATAAAAATTTATATTGTAGGAAAAACCTCAAATAACTATAGCAAAAGAATTATCAGAAGAGAGTGAAAATGGTGATGTTAGGTTCGGATGGATTACAGGTGTTTTTCTACGTTGTGTATTAAGCATATTGGGAGCGACGCTCTTCTTGCGAATGGGATGGATGAGTGGACAAACTGGAATCAGTAATATTCTTAAAATATTATTCTTCTATTATTACTAAGCAAAGTTTGGTTGATTAATAGTGCCGAATTTTTTTCGGATATAACTGCTATTTTATTTTAATTTTTATTTATAATTTTAGGATCATTTTAGGATCAATATTTAATTAAATTTTAATCTTTTTTAACCTTTAAATTTTTGTTTTTCATTCTTTTTATCATATCACAAATCCTTATCGCAAAATTTTTTATTGCAAATTGTTTTTTTTGCAAATTTGTTTTCGTTTTTTTTTTGCCTTAGAAAAATAGAATAATAAACGCAATATAAAACAAAATCTACATGTTATCCTTATCAGTAATCTTGAAATTTTGACTCTTTCAAACTTTTAATCCTTTAATAATAAAATTTTTAAAGGACTTGGAAGACCTTAAGAACCTGAATTTTCTTGAAAAAATATTTCCTAGGATCATTTTTTTAAGGAATTTTTCAAAAAAAGCTTATCGTCTTTTTTCAATCTTTTAGATTCTTTATAGCAAAATAAATCGCTCTAACATTTTTCGTTTCAGTTGTTTTTTTCTAGGAAACCATCAAAATATTTCATTTTTCAATAAAAATTGATCTTTTTTACACATGAGACCTAGTCGTGTTCTTTTAATATTTCAGTTCTTGGAACAAGCCTGATATTGATTTCATCAATAGTTGCAATTCTCACTGCTATATCGATGTCTGCGATTGCTACTAATGGTGAAGTAAAAGGAGGAGGATGCTATTATCTTGTAAAGCTAATTATTTTATTATTGTAAAGCGAGACTATTCCGATAACCGCAACCATTTGTTAATTTAGGCTTAAAATCTAGCAAAATCATTCATTTTTTTCCTCATTTGAATATTAAAGTAATGGTGAATTTTTTTAAATAGGATTCTTCGTAGTTGCAATGTGATTTGATCTGTGACTGAAAAATATTCCATTTTAAAAAAAATACAAAAAATATGTAAAATATATTAAAAAAATATATAAAACATATTGCAATTGACTTACCAAAAAAACCTTTAAAGAAAATTCCCATTCTATACTCCAATATATATATATATTTTTTCTAATAGCTCTTATCATTACTTGTTAAGCTGACTACGCTTTCTATAAGCGTAAGACATTTGCAAGCTGTTCAATCCGAAGCCATCACTGATAGTAATAAAAACCATTCATTTTTCCATCTATATATATATATATATATATATCGTTATTAAAGCAATCATTAAAAGACATAATTATAAGATTAATTAGTAGAGCATGACTCTGACTCGTTGTTGTTGTCATTTCGAGGCACCGATGCCGGGATTTTACTCTCAGTAATGGCAAATCGATCTTCCAGAAATTTCTGACGAATCACCAGCTATGTCGCTGAGTGACCTTCTGATAAAATTTATCAGATTTGATAAACTAGCAAAATAAATCTAACCGCAAATAGCGATTATTCTTAAAAAAAAAATATGGAATGCGCTTATTGCAGATTAATTCTGAATATAATAGAAAACTTTTTGCAGATAAGTCGATCGCTTGGACCTGAATTTGGTGGCTCAATTGGACTTATTTTCTACATCGCTAATCTTGTGAATGCTTCAATGAACTGCGTTGGCCTAGCAGAATCTATCGTATTTTTACTGAATGAAAATTCTTGGTCACTCATTGATGGTGGTATTAACGATATTCGACTCTATGGATTTAGTTAACCTTTTATTTTTGATTATTTCATTTATCGTTTTTTTCTCAATTTACGATTGAATCGTGAATCGTTTTTCAGTTATTTGCCTTATATTACAATGCATAATATTCATTGGAACTGCATTCGAAAGTAAAACTCAACTTGTATTTCTTTTTTCTTTACTTATATCCGTTATAACTTATATTATTGGAACGTTTTTCCCATCAAATGATTACAGACTTAATCGAGGAATCACAGGATATTCAGGTTTTTTAAAATTATAATTTATTATCAATAAAAGTTTTTTTATCTGCTGATAATATTTATCAAATAATTCGTTAGCAACGACTGTTTTTTAGCACGAACAGCGACTTCCAATATTCTGCCAGATTTTCGTAGTGGTGAAACGCCAATATCCATTTTTGGTGTTTATTTTCCTACAATGGCTGGCATGATGGCTGGTGCGAATATGTCCGGTGATTTAAAAGATCCATCCACTTCTATACCAAAAGGAACCATCCTTGCAATTATCACAACCTCTTGTAAAATTTTTTGTGCTTCATAATTTGATTATTGTGATTTCTTGGTATTAATCTTTCGAGAAGATTCAATTTTAAATTTCTTCTAATCAAATTTATAGTGGCTGAAATTGAGGTTCTTAAGCATAAGTAAGTAGTTTGCGCCAACCATTTTTGGTTAGAATTGTAGAGCTAAGAAATTTATCACAGAACTGTATACCACTTGCATTCACCATGAGTGGTTAGATTCATTCCACGCTTGTCGTACTAGACAAATATATCCTTTGGAGATAGAAATCACCAGCATCACCCGCACTTTTGAGCAAGCTTATTCTTGCCAGTGGTAGAATGAAGCTCTGAACTTAGCAACAACCCACTAAACCATTCTACTCTCCTTTTTTCAGTTAAACGACATCACCGCCTGACGAAGAGTGCTGCGTCGGCGGATTAGAACCCAAGCCTCGATTCTTGACGGCAATTGTCTTGCCATCGAGTCATCGACAAATATTCTTATCATATATAATTAATTGTCTTATAAAATAATTTTGTAAATTTCCAAGCTATAGTGATATATTTTTTGAAACAGAAATAACGTCGGTTAGAAAAATGATTAAAAAATTAATAGCAATAACACCAAATAAAAAGAATATTTTTAGTATTATATCTTATGGTTTTATTAGCAACTGCTGTGACAGTCGTACGTGATGCAACGGGAATTTCACCACCAGGTTGGAATTTTAGCTCTTTACTCATTTTTTTTAAGGATAGTAATGATAATGATAATAAGTGATAATCGCATGGATATTTATTTTAATATATTGCGATTTTAGTTTTTTCGCCGAATGGAGTCTTCATTAAGCCATTCTGTGGAAACACAACTTGTCCTTATGGTCTTATCAATGATTATCAAGTAAAATATATATTTACAAGTTTTCTCGTTTTGAAACTACTTGAATAAAAAATACAAAATTTAGCTAATATGACCATTAAAAAAAAATACAACTATTGTTTATCCTTCAACTATCCATCTGCATTTTTTTAAAATATTTATAAACAATAAATAATTTAGTCTTCTTTCGAAAAGATTTGATGAAAATATGCAGCACTTTTACATTTCCTGATTTTACTTTCTTTATAATCGAATTTTTTTGCAAAATTTTTTTCAGCGACATGACGATACATAATAATAATAATAATAATAATAATAATAATAATAATAA